AAACTCCACTTTTCAGTCGTCTTAGGCACTCGTTTTTTGACAAACAATGACCTTTCAGAGGTCAAATTGCTGTCAAGAATATGAATTGGCTGCTTCGCAGCAATTAAGTGATACCTAATTACTTCACAAAAATATAACCCAATTAGCATCTTTAAAATCATTTTTGTTTAAATTATGTAATTGCCCCAAGTCCATTATAAGCCAATTTATTCTGTTAACATATCTGGGCCATGGGCAGCGAGAACAGTGTACTTCATAAACAAAATCTACAATAGCAATAGGCCAATTCGTAGTTAGAACCGCGAGTATTAAGGTCAATCAACAACATAAACAAGCATTCACACAAAAGGTTTATGTCGATTTACCATGGATACGGGCATGCGCATTTTGAACCACGAATTGGCTTATTGCATTACCACCATCTAACTTATCGTTTGTTCCCCATTTTTTAAATACTTTATTTGTTAATAACAGTCACTGGATAAATCTCCAAACACTCCTTGAACCTTCCTATATGCTTAATTGAGTTTCCATCATACGGTAGGAAAGTTATTTGCATATTTTCTTCCCCGTCAGTTGTCTCGCCATTTTGAAGCCTGCTTGCATCGCCACAAGATGTGGGTAGATTGTTTTCCCGTTCACCAAAGCCAATGACCTTAAAAATCAAAAGGCACATTGATAGGTCAATGCCCATAGACGTCTAGGCCCGACTGCACTGCTAGTGGTGTTAGGTATGTTTGCTTTTGAGTATTTGCCATTAAGCATGTAGTGTGATTATTATTAACCAAATCAAATATATGGCCAAAAATGTTTTGTTTGAGTATATATTAGCTAAAATCGATTAATAATATTTTCCATCACCCCAATGAACAATCAGTTCACAATCTATTTATATTTCCACACTGTATTCAAATAGAAAAAAAATAAATAAAAGGGCCCCCTCACCTGTGTTGATAGTTTTCTCCGACATCTTCCTTCGTTTATTAGTTCATCTAGTAAATCAATTATTTGACTTTTCTTTACATTCTTCAATACTTTAATCTGTAAAAAATAACACATTAATTAAGCTTAGCCTATATAAGATAGAAGATGAAGGTGAAGATAATTCACTGGTCGGAAGAAGCCAATGCCGAGAGATCTGGTTTAGTGATTTTTTCTTCACAAACCCTAGTTAAAAAAATATTTTTTTTAATTAATAACCACAATTATAACACACCTCTCTCTCCAGCACATCAAATACATAAGCCCCTGTTTGAATTGCATTCCAATTCCTGGTAACTTCATCTGCAAGATTCAGGTCAACACACTGCTTCAGGTTCACCAGAGCATCCACTTGAGTCTGGAACTCTCTGTCTGTCATGTTTGTCAGTTTCTCTTGGAAATTTTCCAAAAAGGCTTCAATTCGCTGATCCACATGAAGAGCGCTGCAAAGACAAATCATTGTCTCAAATTTGCTCATAATGTTGTAGTATTATTGTTACATTCAAATTAATTTTCTGTACCATTCCAGCTTGCTATTAGCATAAATATTGGTGCTGGTTTGAATGGTATACTCGCCTATGGTTCTGGAGGTGGAACAAGTCTTCTCAGATAAGGACTATAAACCGTAGGCCCAGTGTACAAAATGGCTCATGAGCACTTCAAAGAACCCAGTACATCTTTCGAGATGAGTAAGGGTTACCCCGGTCTACTGGTTCAGATGAAAGATAGCTGGTACCGGTTTACCAGGTAGCTCAGACACGAAGAGACCCTTTCTTTAGGGGAGATAGATGCAATTAATTGTACGAGCTAGTCCACACCTCATGCGCTTTTAAACTTCAGTTTATACATCACATTACATTATTCAGTCAACCCAAATATTGTTATTCTTAAATGTAATCTTAAATTTGTAATCACCTACCTGAATTTATTTGCCTGTGTTGTCACGGTTACAGAAAACCCAACAATACCAAAGCTATTTCTACAGGTAGGGTGCACACTATACCTGAAAAAATAAAGTTAAAAAAAAAATTACAATTCAGTAGTGGTGTTTATAGTCCGAGTGAAGTAATTACCTGCATAGACTAAGTGATAGAACATGGAAACAAACCCTTTTTTCGTTTCCTTGTTTCAAGAAGGGGAAGATTACATTCTAGAAAATAAAAGTAAAATGGCTTACCCTAACTGTTCTTGAGTGCGAAGAAAGTCGAAACATGGTTCCTCCATCAGCATCTGCAGAAGTGAATAAAAGGTTCTCACTGTATATGTGTATGCTACATTCTTGCAAAGGAACTGGCCACCCTACCACACAATGCCGAGGCTTAGTACAATGGGCTAACAGCTCATTCCCCTACGTTCAGTAATGAATATCTAACATTTACCTTCAGATTATACAAAAATCCTGATAGAAAACTCATTCTCCTGTATGCTGGACGATGTGTAGACCTATTTATTGGCGTAAAATAAGCCATAGTATTTTTTTGCCCCAAAATTAGGCAAAATATCTGTACCAACTACAGAGGTTCTGTAAAACAATGTATAAATTACAGGTGGGCACATTGCAGCCCACATACGGCTGGTCAGCAATATTTTTGTGGCCCACAACAATCTGAGCCTGCCTACCATGTTTGGCTAGAAAAACCCTATTTTTTACAGTTCAATTCGATAATATGTAAAAAGTATTATTAAAACTAAACATAAACCGGTATAAAAGCAGTGCATGCAGGTTTCCGGAAATGTCAAAGTTTAAGTGCAGTGTTAAATCAAAAATTCACTTTGGCCCTCCTACGCATGCTCACCCCTGATATAAATCAATAATTGACTTTGTACTATACTGACCACTAGTAACTCAATAAGAGTGATCTTGTAGATGGTTCCACAGCCTTGTTGGTAGTAATTATTCACCACAGTGTTTGTATCCCCAGGATTGAAGCTCTTTAACTTGCAGGTGGTTGAGCCCAGTGGAATCTTAGTAATAGTGGTGCTAGGCTGATGATCTATGACCCCAAGATCCAACTTCTTGCAAATCTTGCTGTGAAACCCAATCGCTTCCTGCAAAAAATATAAAAGGACACACATCAGTTGATTTTAAATTTTAAAATAATAAGCAATTTTAAACTACTGTTATATACTTCAAAAAGGTTAGTTATACTGACATTTATCCTTCTCAACAAGAAGTCTAGTTTCTATGTGAAAGCATTAAAAACATATTTAGCATTACAAACATATTTAGCATTTACAGTTGTTATAAAGCATTTGTTTGCTTAGTATAGAATAGAAAGTGCACAATACAATATAAATTTTTCTGTCTCTTCATGGTGAGAGCTATGAAATAACTAAGAGTATTACTTATATCATTATTTTGTCTTTGCATATATTTAATGCGAAGACAGCCCCTAACTGCTGTCTCTCATCTAGATATTAATGACAAAAGTCATATTTGCTATTTCAATTATGTTCTCATATTGTTTACAAATACCTGTGATGTATAGTTGCCTTGAACTAAAATTTCCACAAATACTTTTTTTCTGAAATCCACTGCAAATTGTTCCACCATAGCTTTCATCACATGAGGGCAGACTTTCCTCTTATCCAAAGGAATCCACTTAACCTTTTGTAAAATTGCTAGTCGAACATCACTAAAACACAAAATGTAACATAATACATTTAATTAATGTTAACTATACAGTAACTTATTTTATTACTGAAATTATATACAGATCAGAGGCAGATCCAGGAATTTTATATAGATAGGGGGCCCAGAAAGGGACTTTCACAGATGGAGGGTTTATACTATTGTACCTCAGGCTGAGGTAAGAAAATTTATGATTATAGCGCCTCTAGATAGCCACTCTTAGACTCAAAAATATTTTTTTCTCAATTTTTTTTTTCATTTTAAAAGATTCAGAAGCTCCCCCCACCCACCCTTGAATCCACTACTTCAGGTAATTACTTATCAATACTGTATTACATGAATGTAAACTTGAATATATATAAATATTTGTTATTATTATTAATATTATATGTATTGTAGGATCTGAGGTGTAATTAAATTAGATTGGATAAGATATCAAACATATTTGTCACAGCAAATCTGATAGCGTGATCAGAGCTTTATACCGTACTTGATTGTTTCACTTGGATCTATGATGTGATTGT